CAAGGGCTGATGGGAGATGTGCCACTGTTTGGAGGGAAGATGGAGACGGGTAGAGGCAAGATGGGCATCTTGGCAGTCTGGCCAGGCAGCAGGCGAGGTGGGTGGTCCACCTGGCCGTCAGAGGGCAAGCCCTGGGAGGAAGGCCAGGAGCATGAGGGCAGCCAATCAGCATCCTGTCCATGGGCAACTCGGCTGTTGCTAGGCGAACAAGAGAGTGGCTGGAGCAGCTGTGGTTGCCACATCCTTTCTTGCCACCAAAAGGATGGTGCTGACACAAACGGCTGACACAAATGGGGAAACTACAGAAAAACATTCCAACTGACCTCACACAATGCTGGAACGCAGAAACCTTGGAATAGACCGTTGGTTCTCTGCAGTAACCAAACATGGTAACCAAACATTCATGGTAACCAAACATGCCTCGTTTCACTGTGCTTGCAGTATTCACGCACAATGACAAGCCATTCCTGCTGTGGCGTATCATTATGTGTTCACACAGCCTATGTGTGTGTGTGTGTTAATGTGAGAGAGGTCTTTATCTTGTGCATCAAGCATTGTATAGGTCTGAATCATATACTCTTCTTGGCTATTTGATCCACATGTCTTTGTTCATTGTGATATGAGGAAATCAAAATAATCAGTATATCTCAATGAGCCGGCTATCTAATTGCACAATTTGCTTTCTTTGTACCTGTACTTAATATATGGAAAGAGATAAGTGCAACATTCTGTGCTGCATTAGCAACTAAGTATGCATTCATAACAATCAGCTGTCCCCAAAGAGGTATTACTAGAACTCTCCCCAGTTTTTCCACAGAATCAACATTTCAAGCAGCCCTGATTTCACAAATATAGAATCTCACACTTAAACAGTTCAAATATGCAATCGCATGCAAGTTTAGACAGGACAAACGGCCGAGAGTACTGATGGCTGGGTCATACCGAAAGCTGTAGGCCCCTTTTCTGTCTAAGCATACATAGGATTGCACCCAAGGGATGGCCAGGGGTGTCAAAGAACTCGTCAGTGCGTTTTTTTGTGAATTTTTTTTGTGAATCTGACCTGTAGCTTCTATAATGGATTGCCTTTTTCTGAGTCACAGAAATTCTGCAGATTTGCGGACTGGTTGTTTACTTCAGGGGTGAGATTTGCACAAATTGGTGCTAGTGCTAACATGCATTTGTGCCAGTGCACAAGTGTGCTAGTGAAATAAAATTCTTATACTTGCATACATACACACATACCGAAAAAATAGTTTCTGTTGATAAGCAGATGACAAAAGGAAAGATGCCTGATTCTCCACAAAACCAAGACAGAGTAAATTTAATGGCAGTCATTCACTGCTAACTTGAACATATTTTAATATGGAGTGTGATTATGCCTTTTATGTAATTGTAGGTTCTAAGTTAAGAATGTGATCTGGGTGTGCTTCTATTGTTATTTGAGTTGTGCTTAATATTGTGTTTTAATACTTTATATAGTTTTTATATGGTTATATGGTCAGTAACCCACCCAGGGAGCTGTGTGGCTAATGGGTTGAGCTAAAAATCCAGTAAATAAATAGCTAAAAATAAATAACATAGCAAATGATCATGCTTTGTACAAATAGGCTGTAATGATATGTGTTTATATTTGCTTTGTGTTGTATGGGAGGGCTCTTTTTCCCATTAGAATGGCACAAAAATAGTTCCCAAAGAGCTTAAACCATATTGGAATTACAGGGAGGAATTAAGTGTTTGTGATGGTTGAATATTTAAGAATGATAGGCAATTGCATCTGAAAACTGAAGGAAGAACTGTTGGAATTAATTCACAAAAGTCATTTGGAAGTTGAACTAGGTACAGGAAGAGCTTTATATGAGATGTTTTGGCTAGGCATGTGCATGCAAATAGAAAAGTTAATACAGTCTTGTAAGGCATGTCAAACTTTCAAAAAATAATAACAGAAGGAATCAATGTTATGCCATGAAGTGCTTGAAGGACCAGGACAGAAACTGGCAATGGATTTATTTGAGTTTAATGGGAAGCCTGTTGGAAATTCTAACTAGTAAATTTATAATTGTGCATCATGAACCTGTGTTTGCTAAAACTGTAATAACTGATAAGAAAAGATTTGCAGACTATTGAAAGGCTGTATTAGGAAAATCATAAGGATTGGTAAGGAAGGTAGCAGAAGTGAAAGTGTGCAATTAGAACAGAATGATTTTCGAAGGATGGAGTTAAAGGAGAAATCAATAATTACATCTAAAGGAAGAATAGTCAGAGAACCTATTAGGGATGGATATTGTTATGGGCCAGAGAGCTTTGGCTATGGGGCAGTATAGAAATGAAATTAATTAAAACGTAATAATAGTATAATGGAAAAGAAAAGAAAAAAATGAGATGTAACAATATGTGCTTGGATTTTGCTTTGCATTGCATGGAGAGGCTCATTGGAGTGTTGCGCTGATTAGGATAAAAGGAGTCACCTGGCATTGTGGGCCAAAGGCAGGAATGTTTTATGTTGTGGCCTACTTCGTGGAGGCCGCCTTTTATATCTTGTGTCTGGAGGCTTCTGTTTATGCCTAAGAACAGCAAGCCTGCCATGGGCTAAACTTAACTGTAAGCTGGAGTAAACATTAAATGTCACGCTCAGCCCCTTTGCTGAGTGGGGCTGGGGAACAACCACCTGGTGGGAATGA